GGTGTTTGATGACGCTTACACCGCTTCATCCTTGTTTATATATATTCTGATTCCCCATTATTTCGCTGTCACTGATTCCACAGATAACCATGGCTACTTCAACCGCTTTGACAGATCTTCGGATGGCTCTCAATCAAATTAAAACCCGTCCTTCTGACTTTTTTTTCAACATGTTTGGTTTAATGTTTAAATATTTGACATGAAGAAAGGGTCGATAAGCATATGGAACAGCGATAGATACCCGGACAGATTATCAGATTATGAGACTTCGGCAATGCACAAATAATGCATGTGCTTTTAAAAACGTTTGTAAAGGGTGTGAGATATTCCCAAGAATTCACTATTAAAAAACAACCAAGAATACCCAAGGTATGTTACTCAAAAAACGACTTTGTTTTTAATAAGTTCTTGGCTGACTAATCACAAATGTTTTACACTAGGTAAGCAATTTCCAGGACACATGTTTATATACTTTCAAGTTCATAGACTGCCATGCGAGTATGATGACAGACATGTCTAGTCTCTGCCTTGCAAATATTGAACAACTGAGGATTAAGCTGGCGGTTGACTTATTTTGTGAGCTATTTGATGAACCTTCTTCACAAAACCAACTCAACGATGCAGCTGCAGATGAGTTATCACTTGAGTCGCCTAGTGAGAGCAAAAAGTCAAAGAGAAAACTACACAATGTGGATGAGCCTACAGAGTTGGAGAAGGGTAAACTGAAAGTGGATGGTCGTAGAAGCTCTATGAGAAACAAAAAGGCTAGAGTATGAAACTGTCTCTCCTGGTTTGTTTTAAAATTTCTGCATTTCAAAAACTCTTCTGTTTTACAATCTCAATCTTGTAAGCTTCTTCTTTGGTTTTTTCCTCTCTTTTTTGACCATAGAAACTCAACTGCTAATGTAACGACTTTTGTAACAGACTCTTTACTTTCTGTATTTTAAATATTTGCTTCAGAATCTTGGGATAAATTCCCAGCATTGTATTTTAAATATTTGATTTATTGAAGATTTATAAATTAGCTTTTGAATCTTTATAAATTGGCTTTTAAATCTTTGTAAATTTTGTCTTGAAATTTTAAAAAAATTTAAAAGATGTTTTAAAATGTTTATAAAAAATGTTTGGGGGATAAACTACAGTCGAGACATCCCCCAAGGCTGTAGATTGCTACAAATTAAAATTATGTAAACCCCATTTTGCTTGAACCAGTGTACTGATGGTAAAGTAGAGGGCGTGTGTGACCTCCAAGACTGTGGTGTCTTAATTGTCATAGCCTCTAGTGTAATTACTTATAAAGAGAATACACTTTAGTTCTTTTTTATTGCTCTGATTATGATGCAGGCCCAAACACGGGCCCAGAAAATCTAAGACTCTCTTGTGGATTGTAAATTATAATATGAACGATGCTGAAAGCCCAATTGTGTTCTGTCGAACATGATGGATTAATTTTTCTAAAACTTTGGTTAAAAAGATTTATAAATTACCTTTTAAATCTTTATAAATTTTGTGGTGTAATTTTTAAAAGATTTAAAAGAAGTTTTAAAATGTTTATAAAAAAATATTTTGGATGCTCGAAGCAGAGAACGAATGGTAAAGTAGAGGGCGTGTGTAACCCCCAAGGCTGTGGTGTTTTAATTGTCATAGCCTCTAGTGTAATTTCTTAAAAAGAGAATACACTTTAGTTATTTTTTATTGCTCTGATTATGATGCAGGCCCAAACACGGGCCCAGAAAATCTAAGACGCTCTCGTGAATTGTAAATTATAATATGAACGATGCTGAAAGCCCAATTGTGTTTTGTCGAACATGATGGATTATTTTTTCTAAAATGTCTTTTAAAAAGACTTAAAAAAAATCCCTTTAAATCTTTATAAATTTTGTGGTGTAATTTTTAAAAGATTTAAAAGAAGTTTAAAAAATTAATAAAAAAATGTTTTGGGTGCTCGAACCAGAGAACTGATGATAAAGTAGAGTGCGTGTGTAACCACCAATGCTGTTGTGTTTTAATTGTCATATCAGTGATTGTAATTTTTTATAAAGAGTATATGTTTATTTTGTAAAAAATAAAAAAAATCCCCACTGATTCCTTATCGAGAGAAATGACACTGTATCGATAAGAAGTACTCGTTTTATTTATTTAATTGCAATGAAACAATCAAAATTCTTCTCTTATCATCTAGGGAAGAGAAAAAGTCGAAACTAATGAACATATACAACTTTCTCTGGTGTTTGATGACGCTTACACCGCTTCATCCTTGTTTATATATATTCTGATTCCCCATTATTTCGCTGTCACTGATTCCACAGATAACCATGGCTACTTCAACCGCTTTGACAGATCTTCGGATGGCTCTCAATCAAATTAAAACCCGTCCTTCTGACTTTTTTTTCAACATGTTTGGTTTAATGTTTAAATATTTGACATGAAGAAAGGGTCGATAAGCATATGGAACAGCGATAGATACCCGGACAGATTATCAGATTATGAGACTTCGGCAATGCACAAATAATGCATGTGCTTTTAAAAACGTTTGTAAAGGGTGTGAGATATTCCCAAGAATTCACTATTAAAAAACAACCAAGAATACCCAAGGTATGTTACTCAAAAAACGACTTTGTTTTTAATAAGTTCTTGGCTGACTAATCACAAATGTTTTACACTAGGTAAGTAATTTCCAGGACACATGTTTATATACTTTCAAGTTCATAGACTGCCATGCAAGTATGATGACAGACATGTCTAGTCTCTGCCTTGCAAATATTGAACAACTGAGGATTAAGCTGGCGGTTGACTTATTTTATGAGCTATTTGATGAACCTTCTTCATAAAACCAACTCAACGATGCAGCTGCAGATGAGTTATCACTTGAGTCGCCTAGTGAGAGCAAAAAGTCAAAGAGAAAACTACACAATGTGGATGAGCCTACAGAGTTGGAGAAGGATAAACTGAAAGTGGATGGTCGTAGAAGCTCTATGAGAAACAAAAAGGCTAGAGTATGAAAGTGTCTCTTCTGGTTTGTTTTAAAATTTCTGCATTTCAAAAACTCTTCTCGTTTACAATCTCAATCTTGTAAGCTTCTTCTTTGGTTTTTTCCTCTCTTTTTTGACCATAGAAACTCAACTGCTAATGTAACGACTTTTGTAACAGACTCTTCACTTTCTGTATTTTAAATATTTGCTTCAGAACTTGGGATAAATTCCCATCATTGTATTTTAAATATTTGCTTTATTAAAGATTTATAAATTAGCTTTTGAATCTTTATAAATTGGCTTTTAAATCTTTGTAAATTTTGTCTTAAAATTTTAAAAAAAATTAAAAGATGTTTTAAAATGTTTATAAAAAATGTTTGGGGGTTAAACTACACTCGAGACATCCCCCAAGGCTGTAGATTGCTACAAATTAAAATTATGTAAACCTCATTTTGCTCGAACCAGTGTACTGATGGTAAAGTAGAGGGCGTGTGTGACCTCCAAGGCTGTGGTGTCTTAATTGTCATAGCCTCTAGTGTAATTGCTTATAAAGAGAATACACTTTAGTTATTTTTTATTGCTCTGATTATGATGCAGGCCCAAACACGGGTCCAAAAAATCTAAGACGCTCTTGTGGATTGTAAATTATAATATGAACGATGCTGAAAGCCCAATTGTGTTCTGTCGAACATGATGGATTAATTTTTCTAAAATTTCGGTTAAAAAGATTTATAAATTACCTTTTAAATCCTTATAAATTTTGTGGTGTAATTTTTAAAAGATTTAAAAGAAGTTTTAAAATGTTTATAAAAAAATATTTTGGATGCTCGAAGCAGAGAATGGATGGTAAAGTAGAGGGCGTGTGTAACCCCCAAGGCTGTGGTGTTTTAATTGTCATAGCCTCTAGTGTAATTTCTTATAAAGAGAATACACTTTAGTTATTTTTTATTGCTCTGATTATGATGCATGCCCAAACACTTGCCCAGAAAATCTAAGACGCTCTCGTGAATTGTAAATTATAATATGAACGATGCTGAAAGCCCAATTGTGTTTTATCGAACATGATGGATTATTTTTTCTAAAATGTCTTTTAAAAAGACTTAAAAAAAATCCCTTTAAATCCTTATAAATTTTGTGGTGTAATTTTTAAAAGATTTAAAAGAAGTTTTAAAAAGTTTATAAAAAAATGTTTTGGGTGCTCGAACCAGAGAACTGATGATAAAGTAGAGTGCGTGTGTAACCACCCAGGCTGTTGTTTTTTAATTGTCATATCAGTGATTGTAATTTTTTATAAAGAGTATATGTTTATTTTGTAAAAAATAAAAAAAAAATCTCCACTGATTCCTCATCGAGAGAAATGACACTGTATCGATAAGAGGTACTCGTTTTATTTATTTAATTGCATTGAAACAATCAAAATTCTTCTCTTATCATCTACGGAAGAGAAAAAGTCAAAACTAATGAACATATACAACTTTCTCTGGTGTTTGGTGGCGCTTACACCGCTTCATCCTTGTTTATATATATTCTGATTCCCCATTATTTCGCTGTCACTGATTCCACAGATAACCATGGCTACTTCAACCGCTTTGACAGATCTCCGGATGGCTGTCAATAAAATTAAAACCCGTCCTTCTGACTTTTTTTTCAACAGGTTTGGTTTTATGTTTAAATAGATATATAAGTTTTATTTGGTGCTTTGGGTTTGGATTCGTGTTTTGATTTCGAAAACCCAAACTTTTCTGTAGATTGATGTGATTTTGGAGTTTTGTTTGTGTATTTTTAGTTGTTGGGTTCACTTACATTGGTTTGTACTCGTTCGAATCTAGTGGGTTAGTGATGACTTTCTGCGTCTTTTTTCTCTGTCTCTGTATGGAAATAATTTTATGGCATGTTCTCTCGTTATAGATTTGAGAAAACCCCACATTTTTATGATCGACTCAAAAGTCAAATCTTGTTGTTGTAGGTCATTAATCCTTTAATGAAGATTATGTAGTGAGATTATGTAAAATGTTTTGTTTAGGTCAGGTGGATGACAACCTCTTCCAATGGGAAGCTGCAATTAAGGGACCAAAAAATAGCCCTTATGTTGGAGGAACCTTCCATGTTAGCTTTCGTTTTTCCCCAGGTTTCCAATGAACCCCCCAACTGTAATTTTTTCATACCAACTCTTACTTTTATGCAACAATTGCTAATGTCTATGTCTAAATCTTACGGTTTCCTCAAATTTTCAGGTCATTTTCAAAACCAAGGTGTTACACCCAAATATTTCTGACAAAGGAGATGTCTATCTCTACATGCTGGACAATGGATGGACTCCTGGTTTCACAATTTCTGATGTATGTGTTTCATCTTCTATTCGTTATAATTTAACTTTAATACCAGCAGTCAAGTATATTTATTAAAGCAACTTTCTTATTTTCTGGAAATAGATCCTAATGACTCTTTGGGGAATGCTCCTTACCCCAAGATTAGAGCTTCCTGATAAGGTGAACGAGAATACTCTGGTGTATATCTCTGACAGGAAGAAGTTTAATGAAATAGCTACTGAGTGGACTCGATTATATGCTATGAATTAAGGAGTTCGTTTGTTTTATGACCACATTGCTATCTATTTTGTAATTAACTTTGAAACATCATAGTGATGTTTAAAAAAATTCAAAACTGCAACACTCTTAACTTTTTTTTATTATGAATAAATCAATTCTGTTTGCTTAACTATTAATGCTGATGGTGCTTCTAAATTGTTACTTGTAATAGTGATATCGTGTTCAAACTGTTTATATAGATACCATATTTTTAAAAACAATCAAAAACATTTATTAAGATTTGTAAATAGGTTTTAAATATTTATAAATTTTATGTTGAGATTTTAAATGATTTAAGAAGGCTTTTAAAATATCCTCAGGTGGTTCGAACCAGGGAACTGGTGTCTTTGAGGAGGCGTGTGTAACCCCCAAGACAGTGATGTTTTAGTTGCCATAATTACGAATATAAAATATATATATTAGTTATTGTCTAAATATTCATTTAATATTTTTGTTGTGATTTTATAAATTAAATTTTAAATCTTTATAAACATTGTATTGATATTTTAAAAAGATTTAAAAGAAGTTTTAAAAAGGCTTTTAAAATATCCTCAGGTTGCTCGAACCAGGGAACGAGTGTCTTTTAGGAGGCATGTGTAACCCCCAAGGCTGTAGTATTTTACCTGTCATAACTACAAATAAAATTGTATATATTTGGTTTTAAAATCTACATTTAAAACAATTTAAAAAGGATTTTTAAATATCCTTAGGATGCTCGAACCAGGGGACAAGTGTCTTTTAGGAGGCGTTAGTAACCCCCAAGGTTGTGGTGTTTCACTTGTCATTACTACGAATACAGTTGTATATATTAAGTTTTAAAATCTACTTTAAAACCATTTAAAAAGGATTTTAAAAAGCTACTTAATCTTTTAAAATCTTAAAATGGGGTTTGAAATAGGGATCCCTTGTACTTATAACCAACTGTTAATGTAAACACCGCAATTCCTTTCATTCAAACCTCACCAACACAAAATAACAATAATGTAATAAAATGATAGAGTTCATGCTGTTCATTATACTGTTTAATATGAGAGTAAAATCAGAGATTAGCTCAGATTGGGGCTATACATGTAGATTTGTTGTATCCACTTTGACCACACCTACCACATTTGTAATTTTTTGATTTGGTACAAGACTTGCCATACTCCCAACCAGAAGGAATCCTCTTTTTCTTTTGCCTCCCACTAGGAATGCGAGTAGAAGGTGGAAGACAAATAAAATTAGCTACATTAGGAGGGATGTCCCAGTAAGTCTTATCTCCAACATGATAAATACTCCCTGCATATGCTAGTATCCACCTGTGAGAAGATAATATGATTAGCTATACAGAACAATACGAAATAAATCAAGAATAAAGGCATAGACAAAAAGAGGCAATAGTACCTTTCTTTGGAGAAACAATCATCGACATAGTTATTTTCGTTGCGTTTGGCAGCTTTGGCGGCCGCAATCGCATGAGCACAAGAAAATCTTTGAACACCAAAAACACAACATGTGCATTGCCTTGACATCAAATTTACAACCTCCTTTCGCTTGTAACCCTTCACCTCAAACTCAAGCTGATTGATTGGACACACTTCAAGCCACCGTGATGAACTATCATAGGATTCCTTCATTTTCTTCCCGACTTCTAATGTCACAGGGTGTGGATGACGAGAACTCATCTCATGCCTTCCCTGGAACCACCTTGTCAATATAGACCTAATGGTGTCAAACAGGCACACTATAGGGTATTCGCGAGGGATATTTAACAAAGAGTTAAGAGATTCTGCAAGGTTTGATGTCATGATGTTATAGCGAGTGGAAGGTGCATAAGCGCGTGACCATTTTGTGACATCAGCTTTCACCAGATAATCTGCGAGCAATGGATGAGCATTCTTGATCTCGTTGAACAGAAGATTAAAATCATACTTAGTGTAAGAGATGGTGCACGATCCAACACAAACACTAGATCTTCCTCATCCGGAATGATAGTCTTCAAGCACCTCAAAAACCACTCCCACGAGGCATCATTCTCAGAGTCAACTACCCCGAAAGCAATGGGATATAATTGAAAGTTACCATCTTGCGCTGTGGCACCAAGCAAAGTCCCTTTAAATTTTTCCTTCAAGAAAGCACCATCGATAGCAACTACTTTCCTTAGCACCTTAAAACCTCTAATGGATGCGCCAAAGGACAAGAAAGCGTACTTGAATTTTCCAGCATTATCTACCTCAATGTAAGTTGCAGACCCAGGATTCTTTTGCTTTACCATGTGGAAAAAACTTGGCAGAGCATCATAGCTATCTTCTGGAGTACCTCTAGCAATCGCTTGGGCATGTTCTTGAGCTCTCCAAGCTTTTGAATTTGAGATAACGACACCATGGTCCTTTCTAGTTTCTATTATATGTTTAGGTCTCAATCCAAGCTTCCCTCCATCGTAATGATTACTTAACATAGTACCCAAGACCTTTGCGCTTGCTTGCCGATGGTTATCATGCCTTAATGATGAGTCAAAAGTATGATCATGCACATACTGCAGAACAACAAAGCTTTCGTAGCCCATAACTCTTGTTGCACGAAATCTCCAGCTACAACTTTCATCAACACAACATAGAACATACCGTTTGCTGTCTGATAATTCAGTGCGGAACTCAAAGCTATGAAGAATTGAAAACATTCGTAGCTTCGTGCCCATTTCGTTTTTGTCTTTGAATAGATTTCCACAATACCCACCTTCATTATCGAAAGCAACGGATTGTAAGAAACCAGATGGAGCCGCACGTCCTGGATCAAGGGATGATGACAATTGCGAAATTCCTGACATTGTACTTCATTGCGATCGTCTCTGCAGAATAGAAACATCCATATATATCCGGGATGAACAGATTATAATACCATTTAAAAGGCTCATTTTTTATAAGCATACCACTACTGGGGGGAATGGATGGAGCAGTGAAACTCTCTTCAAACTGCAAAATTAAAAAGCACATTGCAAGATTTTGTAAGTTCCATTGAGTACAAAATATTCATTCATAAAAAATAATTTGTAAGCCATGCCAAAGCTTCATGAAAATACCTCATTCACAACAAAGTGTGAGGCAGCATGGACAGTAAATCTCTCATTACTTATATGGATGTTGTTTCTAACCATGAATGAACGAGAGTTTGTTTCTCTCTCTAACATAAATATTATACTTCACGACTTTGTTTTGTAATCATATAGACAGAAAATAATTATAGTAATTACCTCATCCATAGCACGAAGGGGGCAACGATGAGAGCTAGAAACTTCAGTAGCAGGTTCTGTGCTCTTTATTTCCTTCACTGTCACACTTAACTCAAAAACTCCTCCACTCTCTTAAATCTTGTGCAAAAAAGCCTCTAGTTGCTAATCATTCCTAATGACTATATGAGGGATATTTTTTGACGCTAAAAGAGAGCTTGAAAGTGATCCATAGCTAATTTTCAGACCATTGGCATTGTCATCAATTCCAAAATCTTCTAAAACAATCGCAACCACCTCGTTGTAAGTTATGTTCTCTTTGATGACACTAAAAGAAGCTCCTCTGTCAGGATCAACAGCGAACTTCCATTGTGTGGTATTAGTTAAATTCCAAGCTCCACACACAAAATATATCTCAAGCATATCGCCTGGTGAAAAGAATATAACAATTTATAAAGATTTACAAATTTACAAAATTCATCATCGAGAATCTAAGAATCAATCGGAACCTCTTCTTCACAAATTAGATATCTACTTGTTACTAAAACTTATAATCGACTACACCTCATAGTTTCCCCTAAATCCTATGCCAATAAATTATAATTTCCCAGAAAATCAACAAGTTTTTTTGCGATTTGACAGAATCAGAAGGGTTGTACCTTTGCTCAATGAATCCAGCAGAATCCTTGGCGGGAGATTATATGCTTCAGTTAGTTAAACTGAAATCGCCGGCGAGATACGAAATCACCGGCAAGATATGAAATCGCCGATCACCAATCACGGTCGTTCTTCTCTTTCGATATCAGAGTTTTTTGGTTGAGAACGTGTTATCGATACGAGGATATAATGATCAAGAAAAATGGCATTTTTTATTGAAAATAGTAATTAGAGAAGTAGTAATTCTCAAACATTCTCTTTTATATTTTCTAAGTGAATTTAACATTATTAAAAATATTAGTTTATATTTTTTGATAAACATTAAAAACTCGAAAAGAAAAATCTCTCTATAAATTAATATATTAATTATTAAATAACTACATAAATTAATAAAATTGTGAAGTTCCAACATTATTAATTTATAGAGATTTTACTGTAAAAGTGTTTATTTTATTAATTTATTTTTTCATCCAAATAATTTTACTAAAAAAATATCTAAAATACTAATGCTTTCATCTAATCATATTTTTATTTTTCATTTTAGTTACACTAATTTTAAATATTAACCTAAAATATATTTATTAACCAAATAATTTCCAAATTATTATTTTTTAATATTTATAAATTAATTTTACTCATATAAATTTACATATGAAGATTCAAATTTCTATTTAAATAGATTTGTCTTCACAGTTTTAAACTAGAAAAAGGGGGAAAATATAAAAAAATCATGTCATATAAATTTATAAATTTACATTTAAATGAATTTGTCTTCACAAATTTTTTTGTTATGACGGAAAAGACACAACTTCACATTTGGCAGAAAACATAATTTTGTGATTTTATTTTCCAGTTTTAGCGGTTATGGGAAAAAATAATTTTGCAGTTTTTGACAGATGATACTATTTTGCGATTTTAGTGCGAAAATGCGTTTTTGTTGTTTCTAAGGAAAAGACTGATTCACAATTTTTTATTTTTTTGAAATAATTATAAATTATATCATTAATGTCATGTTCATTTGATAATATGGAATTTGCATCTAAATATTTTATTTGGA